CCTCCTCCTTCACCTCCCTCCTTCACCCCTCCTCCCCCCTCCTTTACCTCCCCTCCCACACCTCCCTTCCTCCTTCACCTCCCCTCCTTCACACTCTCCCCCTCCTTCACACCTCCTCCTTCACCTCCCCTCCTTCACCCTCCTTCCCTCCTTCACCTCCTCCTTCACCTCTTCCCTCCTTCACCTCCTCCTTCACCCCCCCCTCCCTCCTTCACCCTCCTCCTCCTTACCCTCCTCCTCCTTCACCCTCCCCTCCTTCACCTCCTCCTTCACCTCCCTCTTCCACCTTCCTCCTCCCCTTCACCCTCCTCCCTCCTTCCCACCCCTCCTCTCCTCCATCCACCTCCTTCCCACCCCCTCCTTCCTCCTCCCCTCCTTCACTTCTCTCCCCTCCTTCCCCTTCCTCCCCTCCATCCCACCTCCTCCCCTCCTTCACACCTCCCCTCTTCACCCCCTCCCCTCCTTCACACCTCTCCCCTCCTTCCCCCCCTCCTCCCCTCCCTCCTCCCCCTCCTTCCCCCCCTCCCTCCTTCCACCTCCCTCCTTCACCCTCTCCCCTCCCTTCCCCCTCCTCCCCTCCTTCACCCCCTCCCCTCCTTCACCCCTCCTTCCCTCCTTCCCTCCCTCCTTCACCTCTCCCCTCCTTCCCCTCCCTCCCCTTCCCCTCCCCTCCTTCACCCTCCTTCCTCCTTCACACCTTCCCCTCCTTCACCTCTTCCCTTCACCCTCCTCCTTCACCCCCTCCTCCTTCACCCCCACTCCCTCCTTCACCTCCCTCCTTCCCACCCCCTCCTTCACATCCTCCTCCTCCTTCCCTCTCCCTCCTTCACCTCCCCCTCCTTCACCCCTCCTCCCCTCCTTCACCCTCCTCCCCTCTTCCACACCTCCCCTCCTTCACCCCTCCTTCCCTCCTTCACCCTCCTCCTTCACACTCTCCCCTCCTTCACCCTCCTCCCTTCACCTCCCCCTTTTCACCTCCTTCCCTCCTTCACCTCCCTCCCCTTCCCCTCTCCTCCTCCTTCCACCTCCTCCCCTCCTTCCCCCTCCCTCCTTCACCCCTCCCCTCTTTTCACCCTCCTCCCCTCCTTCACCTCCTTCCTCCTTCACCTCCCTCCTTCACCCTCCTCCCTCCTTAACTCTCCCCCCTCCTTCCCACCTCCCCTCCTTCACCCCCTCCCCCCTCCTTCACCCCCTCCCCTCCTTCACCCCCCTCCCTCCTTCACACTCTCTCCTCCTTCACCTCCTCCCCCTCCTTCACCCTCCTCCCTCCTTCATCCCTCCCCTCCTTCACACTCCCCTCCTTCCCCTCTCCTCCTTCACACCCTCCTTCACCCTCTCCTCCTTCACCTCCCTCCTTCACCTCTCCTTCCTCCTCCTTACCTCTCCTTCACCTCCCCTCCTTCACCTCCTCCTTCACCCTCCTCCCTCCTTCACACCTCCTCCCCTCCTTCACCTCCCCTCCTTCACCTCCCCTCCTTCCCCCTCCCTCCTTCACCCCTCCCTCCTTCCACCTCCTCCCCCACCTCCTCCTTCACACCCTCCTTCCCTCCTTCACCCCTCCCCTCCTTCACCTCTCCCCCCTCCTTCACCCCCTCCCTCCTTCACACCCCTCCCCTCCTTCACCCCTCCTTCCCTCCTTCACCTCCTCCTTCACCTCTTCCCTCCTTCACCCTCCCCTCCTTCACCCCTCCCCTCCTTCACACCCTCCTCCCCCTCCTTCCTCCTCTCCTTCACCTCCTCCTTCACCCCTCCTCCCCTTCACCTCCTCCTTCACCTTCTCCCCCTCCTTCACACCCTCCTCCCTCCTTCACCCTCCTCTCCTCCTTCCACACCCTCCTTCACCCCCTCCTTCACATCCTCCTCCCTCCTTCCTTCTCTCCCTCCCCACCTTCCTCCCCTCCTTCCCTCCTCCCCTCCTTCCCCCTCCCCTCCTTCACCCCCTCCCTCTTCACCCCTCCTCCCCCCTCCTTCACCCTCTCCCTCCTTACCCTCCTCCTTCACCCCCTCCCTCCCTTCACCCCCTCCCCTCCTTCACCCCTCCTCCCCTCCTTCACCCCTCCTCCCCTCCTTCACCCTCCTCCTTCACCCCTCCTTCCCTCCCTTCACCTCCTCCTTCACCTCTCCCCTCCTTCACCCTCCTCCTTCACACCCTCCCCCTCCCTTCACCCTCCTTCCCTCCCTCCCCACCCTCCCCTCCCTTCCTCTTCCCTCCCTTCACCCTCCCCTCCTTCATCCCCCTCCCTCCTTCACATCCCCCTCCTTCACACCCCTCCTCCCCTCCTTCACACCCCTCCTCCCCTCCTTCACCTCCCCCTCCTTCCCTCCTCCTCCTTCACACCTCCTCCTTCTCCCCCTCCTTCACCTCCTCCTTCACCTCCCCTCCTTCACCTCCTCCTTCCCTCCTCCTTCACACCTCTTCCTCCTTCACCTCCTCCTTCACCCCCCTCCCTCCTTCACCCTCCTCCCCTCCTTCACCTCCTCCTCCTTCACACCTCCTCCTCCCCCCTCCCTCCTTCACCTTCTCCTTCACACCCTCCTCCCTCTACCTCCTCCCCTCCTTCCCCTCCTCTCTCCCTCACCTCCCCCCCTCCTTCACATCCTCCTCCCTCCTTCATCCTCCTCCTCTTACCTCCCCTCCTCCTCTTCCCTCCTCTTCCTCTCTCCTTCCTCCTTCACACCCCTCCTCCTCCCTCCTTACCTCCTCCTCTTCCCCTCCCTCCTTACTGAGGCTCTGTCCTCATATTAAATTGTTGAGTAAGATGTAATGGTGGCCTCTTACGCCTTAAAAGACTTCAGGTGTTTGAGTACAGTTATGTCATAACATCTTCACTCAGGTCCCCATTTCCTTAGTCGTGTATACTTGCAATCGTGACACATACGCACACACACACACACACACACACACAAAATACTCACAAACGCATCAAAATATTGAAAAATAAAAAAATACTCTAAACACCAGAAATACTCTGGAAATTGTCAATTGCTCTCAAATACTCAAAAATACTCTGATTATCAAAAATACTCACAAACCTACCAAAATATTCACAAACCCACCACAATACTCACACACAAATGCCCACAAACCCACAAAAATACTCATAAACACACCAACACATACACAAACAAGTGAAACATACAACCCTGATTGATCTGGCTGACAAGTGGCAACGAGTGCTCATAACATAACCCAAACCTCCCTCACGTCACACCGCTTAAAACCCTGCATGCAATCCACGCCACAAACACCAACATGTGACTCAATAAACTACAAGTACCTATTAGAATCTCCGTATTAAAGCAGTATCATAAGTATTCACCATATGCAATTTTAGTTAAGTTGCCATTGATGTCCCCACAAATGGACTTAAGTCACATATGTCTAAGGCTTATTTACAATGTTATTGTTAAGTATTTGTGTAAGTACATGTTACGTTAAGTAAAGTTAAGACAAGTATATCTCCGTTAATGTTCTGCTATCGTAATGTTACTGTCATATAAAGTGGTTAACTTTATGGCGATAAGACTGAAACGCCAATAGCAAAACAATACAATTTTGTGTCTAACATTAAATCGTTCTTCAAGTACCGATATCATGACGTTATCAACAAGTCTCCGTCTCTCTGTGTGTCCCTCCCTCAGTAAACACACCAACCTTCTTCAAACTTGGTATGTGGGATGACAACACGAGGGAGGGTGAAAGGCGCGTCTACCAGTACTCATTGCACACCATACTGGGGTGTGTAAAGGGGGTATAATACTGGGCAAAATTTCTCCCGTTCTCGGTCAAAAACTGCAATTTTCATTTGTATATATCAAGCATATCCTAATGATACTAGATTTGCATTAAAATCACTTAAAGTTGTTTCCCAATAAATTGTTTTAATAAAATCGATGTCTTTCACTAATAAATATGATAAAGCCTTAATTGGACCCGCAATGCAGTCAAAACTTGCCCGAGAACTCCCGTACTTTCCGTTTTCCCCAGATTTCAGTTTTCAGGCAAAATATCTGACCGAGAACGGTGATATTACCGTTGTTCTTCCGAGGAATGTGGAAAATTGCCTAGTGTGAGAGTCCTTTAAAGAAGGGGAGCCCACTGAAAACTGCCAGTCGGCCCAAAATGTCGTGCAACAATTGAGGAAAATGTGACCACGCCCCTCAGAACTGATGAGCTACCATACTGAGTCACTGTAAGGAAGAGACAACACCAGTCAGCCCAAACTGTTGTTCAGCACAAGTATTGGGTTGAAAGTGGTCAATAATTGGATGTTGCTTTTAACAGCTTTAAACGAACGTGGATATGTCCCCAACACATGAATTTTGGTCATGTTTATGTTGACATGACAGTGAGTTTTAGGTTCACACACACACACACACACACACACACACACACACACACACACACACACACACACACTTGATATGACCTCTTAAGATGTTTCTGTCGTTCAGGTGAATTTAATTTGTACTACCTGAACATTAGGCTCCCCAGCTTATATCACTCAATGACCAACCACCCCAACACTACCTGGGGATAGGTTAGATTTAAGTTTAGCGTTAGGTTATGTTAGGTTAGGTTAGGCTAGATTAAGTTAGGTTTAACGTTAGGGTGAAATAAACTCGGGGCTTAATTTTCAGTTGATCTGAATTTATCGTGAAACATCTTGATAAAAGGTAACATACAAGACAAGGAAGGTTCTATAAGTTAAGATATGGACACAAGAGCGAGTGAGGAAGGTTGTGTCATAACTCTGTTGAGGTTTCATTTTTCTTTAACAAATTCTGTGAGTTCTTAGCCTTTTTTCCTTCTTTAACTGATTATTCTCACCTCAAGAAACGCTCAACTCGAGACCAAAACTTCCCCGGGAGGTTATAATATTGACACAAGAGCGAGCGAGAAAGGATGGGTTGCACAGGGATGGTTGAAGGTCGTTGTGAGCGGCTCGTCTTCCCGGGAACAAGTGATGCGCTGCTGCCGCCACCACACCTCCCGTCAAGGTATATAAGGCGACGGCGGCCCGGGAGAGGTAGGCATTGCTTTACCTGTGCTGCTTTAGTACACTTCTCCCTCCCGTGCAACAAATACTGACAGGTAGGTTGTGTGGGGATGTATTAAACCTACAGTGACGTAAACTTGGGGGAACATCCTTGTCCGTTTGTGTTGATGTTGGTGGCTTGTAGTGATGGATACTGTACAGCAAACATCACGATTAATATTATTTTGTATTCTAGTGAATTATCATATTACAGTGTAGTGTAAGCGTATATTATTGATGATGGATTAAGTACGGGGATATTGCAGTTAATGTTAATCTAAACAAGTGAATTTTTATTTCAAATTAAATATTATAGGGTCAAATGTTTTTTAAATTTGGCTTGAAGGTAAAATTATGGAGTAAATTGTCCTAAGATATAATTAATTGTCTTATTACAGATTATCTTAAGGTAAATTAGCACCCACAGTTGCTACTCTTATAGTGTAATTTATTCCTCACAATAAGAACTGTTTCTGTGTAATTTTGTTTTATTCTGATTTATGCTTCATGAAAATTACTCTGCATATACAGTAGACTTTCTTAGGGATAACTTATATATTTTCTATAGTTATATTGTTTTAGGTTAGAAATATCCTTAAAGGTGAAATAATTTTAAAACAAATCTGCACTTGAAATAGACTGGCTGTAATTAAAATATGATTTATTCTGGGGTGAAGTTTCCCCTAAAATAATAACTGGTGAAAGGTTGATTTGTCTTTAAATTAATACGTTTTTAAGGTAATAGTTTGTAGACCTAAAAATAAGATACCAGATATTTGGTTAATTTTAACACCAATGTTTAATACTTTTATGTTTTGTATGAGTATGATATTTAAACATGTAATATGGTAGGATTTTTGTTAATCTCTTCTGAGAATTTCGGTAATATTTTCATTTACGCGCGCACTTTTATTATAGTGTTCACCCTGTATACTATTTAAATATTCCCGCGCTCTCGCAACTTCAACTGAACACCACTGAAATATTTTTAGCCACCGTAAACATCCCTCAATTCATTATGCTATTTTTTCCTAGCTAAGACATTAATGGACTGCAAGTTTGAAAGTAAAAGAAACGTTTGTAGATGATGATAAAAAGGATCCCCCCAAAAATCTTCAAAAATGTTTTAAACTGTTGATCCCTATTGTCAGGACTGAAGTCGTTTTGGTACGTTTATTTCGTCACTTATTATTTTTAGTAGTAGTAGTAGTAGTAGTAGTAGCCGCCTAATTCGTAAACTGAAGATATTTTCGTAATGAAGTATCATGTTTCAGTTATCCACTATCTAAGCTAAGGTTTATCATAATATTTCAAGGAACAGAGCAATGTGTCCTGAAGCAGATTTTCCTTCCTTGAGTCATTTTAGTTCTTATTTCCTGTTTGTCTTCTTCCACTCTCTCTCTCTCTCTCTCTCGGTAACAACAATACCTAAGAATAAATTCACTTAAAACCAAATTCATTTTCCTGTACTTTCGATTTTGTGTAATTAGTTAGAATAAATGAGATGGAATTTGTTTATAATTGCCTATACATCTTATAAAAATAGATAAAAATATTAAGAAATTGAGAAATTATCAATTTTGTATTGGTTTATTATTATTTTTAGGAGATTGTTAGATAGAACGTAAGACAGGGGATAAAGTGTATGAACAACATCCCATCTAACTACGGACGAAATATACCCGTAACTCATGAACTACTACTACAACTATTTTTACTACTACTATTACTATTGGAACTATTACTGCCACCACCACTACTAATAAAAATAATTTTGCTTTCATTCACTACTTCTACTACTATTATTATGACTATTCTACCACAAACTGTTGCTACTACTACTACTACTACAATCACTACTGTACTACTACAATCACTACTGTACTACTACTACTACAATTACTACTGAGACAGACCCCACGCCCCAACCAGCCACTCACCGCACACTTATTATTGAAAAGCAGAAGATACGAACCTAAACTAGCCTAACATAAGGACCCAGGGATTAGTTTTGAGACTTACAATAGATGATTGGTTAATTAATATCGTGTGAAATATGTGAAGGAAAAAAAAGTTGGTTCCGCCGTGTAGGTCATGATGTATGGTTGAGGGCGGTTTGTGGCAGTGGAGGCTTCGGGGCGGGCGGGCGGGAAACCCCTTTCACGTGTTGACCCAGATCCCTAAACTATGGACGGATGACCAGCTGTCCCCCCCAACTACCTTGCCCTTCCCTTTCCCTTTCTTCCCCTCCCCTCCCCTACCCTTCACCCTTCTCTACCATCCCCCATACCTTACTCTTCTCCCTCCTCCTCTCCCCCCACCCCCTCCCTTCAGGGGCGGACCCAGGGAGGTCTTGGGGTCCGGATCCCCCCTTTTCATCAGAAAATTTCAATAACTTTTCTTTAATGCAGTAGTGTACTCAGGCATTTTTGTATAGTAAAAAAAATATTATTGACCTCAGAATATCTTAATATCAAGTGCACATGGCCTCAAAATGCCCATGATATTGATCAGATTTAAAAAAAAAATCTGTACTCGCTGTACTCGCCATGTTCCCCCTCAACTTCTTGGACGCCCCCTTTTGATATTCCTGGATCCACTGTGCTCTTCCTTCTCTCTCTTATCCTAGCCTCCCTCCTTCCCTCCCCCTACCCCTACACATAACCTGTCTCATACTTTCACCCTCCTACCTACCCACTATCCTTCACCTTCACTCTCTCTCTTATCCTTGATTTATCCCGTTACTTCTGACTCTAACTCAATGGGTCTACTTTCTCCTCTTCTCCCTTCCCTATCTTTACTTTTTCTCACTTTCTATCGCTATTTCATTCTACCTCGTCTGAGTTTTTCATTATCTTTCGTTCTGGGTAACTTTAATAATTCTTCTTCCTCTGTTTACTATCCTATCTCTCTCAGTGTTTCTTTATACCTATGTTCCTTCTACCTATTCTTTTCCTCACTTCTTTATCTTTCCTCCATCTCAGTGTTGCATTTTACTTCCTATTTCGCGCTTCCCTCCTCTTCCTCCTCACCTCTGGAGCGTTAAGGAGGGAACAGCGCCTTGACCCGCGACCCTTGCGCCTGTTGGGTCATCCTCCCCCCCTCTATTGTGTGGCAACAACACCTGCACACGTCTAACCTCCCTCCTCCCCTCCCCTCCCCTCACCAGGCACGTTCCTCAAGCTGCGACACTGGCAATTTTAAGATATTGGAACGTTGGATACGATCTCACAGCACCAGTTAAGAGGGAAAGTTAATGTAAGAGTCTTTGAACATCCATCTTTGTGACGCAGCTTCAGTGAGTCAGTTAGATACGTTACCTTTCCTTCCCTCCTCTGCCAAGGTCCTCATGTGAGAAGGTCGACTCGTGTACTGTTCTTTCCCGTATTGTTTAACTATTAACTGTTTTTACGGTGTGAGTTTACGACACATTAATACCACCACAGACCTCTTCACACCTCGTACACAACACATGGTGTAAACCCACTTAATGTTAGAACCCTGGATAGTTAACACACGTTGTGCAGCACACTGGCTCACTCACTGTTCCCTCTCTGTACACCTTGGTACTCATTCTCAGCTGGGAGGACTTGGGATGACCCAGGCGCGAACCAGTGACTCTTAGAGTAGAAAAATGCTATATCTACTCGGCTTCCGCACCCCACCCCCCTACTGCACTGACTCACTTCACTCTAAACGACTGGTGAACCATGTCCTTGTGCAGACACTGAAGTTCTCGGAGTGACCGCCAGAGTAGGGTCAATGCTCACCCCCTTCCATTTGCCGAGACAGTAAAGAGCCAAGGTTGAAGAACACCAACTAAGGGCATGAGAAAACATGTGTGAATTGCCTCCAGACATCTTACTGGGTGTTAGTGGAGATCAGTGCTCAACTCTTTTTTTCTTCCTTTTTTTTTATTACGGGCAAGAGCCTACCCGGGCACAGGTCATTTTATGACCCACATCAAGGCCTGGGGAGCGAAAATGTAATAATAATAATAAAAATAATAAAACGTAATATAAATAATAATAATAATAATAGTAAAAATATAGAGCCATAAATAAATAAAAAAAATTAAAAAATATCAATATGTTGTGTTGTTAAAGTAAGAGGAACAATTATTGAGACCCTGCAATTGTGTGTAAATGAGGCAGAAAGTCAGATCAGCAACCTGGGACTTGGTCACAAATTTTTTGGTGTCATATGTCAGCAGGGTCTACCATTAGACAACACATTATGCTTCCAATATCTTCCCAGGCGGTAGTACCTCCCTGTTTTGAAGCTTATTTCAACAGTAGAAATAAAATCATTTCTTAAAAGAGAGTCAGAGATCTCCAGAAAGGGAAGGACAGGAGCTAAACTTATGCTGCTCTTAAATCTTGATCTGTGTACTGTATCATGTTGGGGAATTTGTGAGGAGGACCAGCGTGCCTTTACTACCGCCGCTCGGGTCGGATATAAAAAAGGTGTTGCCTAGTGTGACCCTACCGAATACAGCACGTTTTTCCGGGAACTCCAGCCTCCTGAAGTAACAGTGAACCCTTAGCTAGGAGGTGGCTCTCACAGGACCTCGGGGGAACCAGTTAGTCACTTCAAGAAGATTCTGAGCTCCGGTGTCAGTAAATACTAAGAAGCCAAGATTTTGATAAGTCACAGTGTACCGGGAAGTACACATTACTGTACCGTTCTCACTACTGGGAAGTACACATAAATGTACCGCTCTCACTATTGGGAAGTACACATTACTGTACCCCATTCTCACTACAACACCGTGAAATAAATAAATACTGAGCAAGAAAATTTAACTAGTTGAGATATAATTTCATACACTGTACTGTGGTGTACTGTACTGTACATCTAGTAATGATACCGTATTGGTATTTTCAATTTCTCTTCAGTAAAGTTTGGGAGGACAGGCAGCTCGGCAATAATTTAATGACTGAACTTTCTCAAGACAAACTGTTTTATCTCTTTCCCAAACACCAAGACGAGTACAGTGTAGTTATCCTCACCTCCTCTCCTTTACAGATACTCCATGGAATTAATTGTCACATAAAGCTGTTAACGTATGGGTGCCTTAGTTAGGTGTGTGTTATAGTCAGGAGCGGCGTGGCAGTGTCAGGCGGTAAAGTCCACATGTGACCGTGTGTGACGTCACTTCCGGGCGCGCGCGCGCACTCCAGCAGCGGGAGCAACACGGGTCACGTGGTTGGACTTGACCGCCTGACACTGCCACGCCGCTCCTGCAGGTGGTAGAGTCCAACCACTGAGTGTTGCGTCTCGTTGCAGGATGCGAGCCGTGCTGGTGACGACGCTGGTGGTGATGGTGGTCTGCCTGGCTCCGGCGGCTGCACAGCTCAACAACCTCTTCAATGACTGGCTGGGAGGCAGCTACCTGCCCCCCGATATCGACGCCGAAGGCGGATCTACCTGCGAGAATGTCATCCAAACCACCACGATATACGGCGTACAGACAGAGCAGGTGTTACAGCCCTTCACCGTGGACCGCACACAGACTGCAGTGGCGCAGGCTGTGGTGACGGAGGTGCAGGCCATCACCACCACCATGGTGCAGACCGAGACCCGCCAGGTGCAGGTCCCAGTTACCCGTACCTATGAGCAGGTCGCTCAGGCTGTACAGACCCGCATCGCAGAGGTGCCCGTCCAGCCTGAGCCTGTGGTGGAGGAGGTGACCCAGACCCAGGTGGTGGCCACCACACAGTACAACGAAGAAGTGGAGACCAGCGTCACTGACGTGGTGCAGCCCGTGCAGGTCACCACTACGCTGGTTGAAACAGCCGTTACTACCGCCGTCCAGACACAGGTACAGACGGAGGTACAGGAGGAGACAGCTGTGGTGACGCCCAAACCCGTGGTGACCACAGCCACGCAGACAACCCAAGAGGAGCAGACTGAGATAGCTCAGTTGCCCGATGTTACCTCTGTGGTAGAGAGTATTGTGGTCCAGACACAAGAGACTGTAAGATATGTCACACCTGCCCCGGTGGTCAACACTCAGGTGGTCACGGAGACCGAGGTGGACACTCAGGTGCAGCAGGTGGTGGAGACCCAGCAGGTGGTCTCCACCGTGGAGAACACCAGGACTGAGGTCGTCCAGATCACAGACAACAGCATTGACTACATCACTTCAACTGTTGTTGTTGATGATGTTGTTGTGCAGACCAGCACACAGGTCGTCGACCGTCAAGATATCCAAACTCAGTTGGTGGAGGAGGTGATCACCACCACACAGGTTGTGGATGAAGTTGACCAACGGCTGGTGACGATCACGGCCTACGAGCAGGTCACAGACTACCAGACGGTTACTGGCGCAGTTGACGTACAGGAGGTGGTTACTACACAAGTTCAGGATCAAGTACAGGTCGTTACCCAGACGTATGACAACGTCATTCAGCAGACCATCAGCCAGGTCGTCACTGCTCCTTGTACACAAACTATGATGGGTTATGACTACAAACGACCTGCCCGTCCCTTCAACTTCGGCTAGGTCTCACCTGACGCCTTCCTCCCGCCCACCACACCCACACAGTCGTCCAGGTTGTTGCTGTTCACCAGAGACAACACCCAACCTGCCCCACGTGATCACTGGCTAAAATCCTCTTACACTACAGGCCAGGTTGTCCTGCTTCCTTCCACAAGTGCCATTGCCGCTACAGGCTAGCGGAGTCTATTTATGCACACAGTTTACCCTAAACCAGGAATCTCTGGACATAATCACCAGTTAACGTGCTGGCCTCCTCCCACTCGCTCCCGTTTATGTGTAGTCGTACTGCATCTTTTCTGTTGATGTGTCTAATTTTTGTATTATATCACTATTAAACTTTCTATATATGTAATTCTTTAGTTTCACCTAAAAGCACCTTTTACAGACTATTTTAAATGTGCAAGGTAAGTTGTTTCAATTTTTGTCTTGTTAACAATGGAGATAAAGTTTAACTAAAATGTAGTACAAGATATGCCACTGACACTTGTCTTAACCTCTTCCACGGGCAGGATGGGTCAGGGTGCCGTGTTGTTTACCCTGCTGGTGGTGTTGGCAGGATCCCGGGCTGCTAAGTTAGGCTTCCTCGAGCCATCCTTCCCTCCCACGGCAGACACGCGGTTCAATGAAGTCTTCGGCTCCTACTTGCCACCTATCCCCGATAACCCACTTCCTGGCTCCACCTGTGCCACCACCATCATCACAGAGACCAGCGGTCAGGTGCAGACCGTGGTGGTCCCCACCACCATCTACAACGATGTAGTAGTGACAAAAACAGACCTCTCTACGACCGTGGTTGTTCAAGACGAAACCATCATCAACACTGAAACTGTAGTGAACACAATTACAAACACAGAGTACGTCACCAACACCCGCACAGAGACACAAACCATCACAGAGACCTCCACCGTCACACTCCCAGCTCAAACCATCTACAACACCGTCACAGAGAGCCGCTTTTCCACCGTCGTTGTGGACACTACACGTGTCGAGGTGGTGACCAACATCGTGCCCAGCACTGTGGTGGAGACTGAAGTCTCTACCGAAATCATCGCCACGACCCTCACGAGGATCGACACACAATACATCACCAACACAGTCACCAATACGCTGCCTGCCCAGACCGTGGTGGAGACGGAGTTCGTCACCAACACCAACGTGGTGACTCAGACACTGCCGGGAGAGACCATCTACAACACCAACACTGTCGTCTCCACCTTTATCAATGAAATAGTGTCCACCTTGCCAGCTGTAACCTCTCAGGTGGTGTCCACACAGGTGGTGCCTGTAGTGACCACCATCATTAACACTCAGGTGGTCACCGACACCCAGACCCAGACTGTAGAGCGCACACAATATGTGACAGAGACACAGACGCAGGTGGACACCCAGGTGGTCCCCACCACTGTGGTCAACATTGAGACACAGGTGGTGACGGAGGTGGTGGACAATGTGATCACCTCAGTTGTCACTGTGCCCACCGTCATCACCCAGACCGCCGTGTCCACCCGGGTGTCTGTGGTGGAGGAGACTGTAGCCGTGACGGAGACTCAGAGGGTCAACCAGGTGGTCACAGTGCCAGGAGGTGTCACCACCATCTACCGTACACAGGTGGTGGCCAACCCCCTCGTCTCCACTGCCTACATCACTAACGATGTAGTAAACACACTCACCATCACCCAGACGGTGCCAGGCTCCTGTGGCACCAACACAGGTTATGACTACAGGCAGCCCAACGTTCCCTTCAACTTCTAGAATCTAGATAAACATTGCTCGTCATTCGTCCAAAAGTGAGCTGCCGTCGGGCTCCTCAGTGTTTAGTAAACTGTCCAGTAAATGAGCATAACTGTGATTGGTGTCGGGTTATCTGTCTATCTACGAGGCTGGGTCCTCTTCTGGTACACATAATATTACAATAGTTTTTAAATCTCTACCATGTGCCATTCATTCTCACTATTTATAGCGGACATTCCCTGCACACCGTCCCACGAAAGCACAAAACGATTATGCTGCCTGTTGTGTATATATAATCAAGCAAGCATACTTGTAACTTTTAAATAAACCTTATTTGTAAAAGTGCTTTAGTCTAATTTCCTCTGTACATCAGCCACTGGCGTGTTATAATGGGAGGAAGAGCAACACAGCGTTAGTATCAGATCTTCATTAACAAGTAGATTACCTCAGCCTTTGGAGAATGCGACAAATTATATAAAGACTAAACCAATTATAGCCTACCAAATGTCATACAGTACTAACTAAAGCTGGTTGTTCGTAACCAGAGTTCTCTAATACAGCAACAGTTGTACAATCTTCCAGACTATCATTTAGAAGTGCCCATAAAATGTGATCTTCCATATTTATGTATTGCAATTTCAGATTACAGTACGGTAGTCAAATGCAGCAATTTAATAAATTTCTTGTTAACTTCATCTTAATCTCATACAAAAATTGAAGATGGGCACAATATCAACACTTAAATATTATTGAGATTTCTAAATAAGTTTTAATGTTAGAATCAATGTTCAAATGACTAAATTTTCTAAATACTGTATGTGAGTAAAACAATATTAGGCAGTCAAGAAAATAACTTCTAAACAAAAGTTTGACCTCAACAACTTCTAATCCATAGTCTTAGTCTTAAATAAAAATCATTTCCAGAATAACAGAAAATCACCATCGAAAAATTACAAGTAACCAGCAATTACAGTTGCAAACCGAAATAAAAATTTCCAGCATCATCAACATGGTTGTATGGTCATTTTCAAGGTTGTGGGTGTTAGTCGCGGGTACATGAAGGCAGCTCCCCATGTAGCCCGTCTATTACAACTCTCCAGTCAGGCTCTTAACTCTGAGGTCATTTCTTACAATGTTTCCCCCATGTCATTCTTGGCCTACGCCTAGTTTTCCTCCCCTCTACATTCAAACTCACACATCTCTTGACCCAACTGATCTCCTCCATCCTCACATGCCTAGACCATCTCAGTGTGCCTCCACGCAAAACCTCGCCAACACTCTACTGTACTGTACTGGAGTACTGTCACCCTATCTGGTCCCCAAGATATGCTAGGGACTGTCAGTTGAAAATGTTCAAAAGAGGGCCACCAGACTGGTGCCTGCACTTCGGCACCTCAGCTACCCTAAGAGATTGGAGTGCTTGAACTAGCCTAGCTTATACTACAGACGGGCAAGGGGTGACCTAATTGAGGTGTACAAGCATCTCAAGGGGCACTACTCAGTCGAGTGTCCTTACTTGGAGCTGGCGGACGCTCACCCCACAAGGGGTCACAGCTCAAGATTGAAGAAGCCGCAAGTCCAGAAAACTGTGAGGGCAAACTTTTTCGGAGTGAGGGTTGTAAACTCTTGGAACAATCTACCAGAAAGTGTTGTGACGGCACCGAGTGTGAGCTCTATCAAGACAAGACTTGACCAACACTGGAGCGGGTTCAGGTACATTCAGGAGCCGGTGCATGCCCAGTACTTGCCAACTGTGCATAACAGAGACATGACCGATTGCCCAAGCGGCTAACGAGCTTATTAGTGGTGAAGAGGATAAAAGTAAAACGTAAATGTAAAGTGTATGGCCAGACATATGGCCACACACTTGAACACTACGTCCTTGACTGTGTGGAGATAGAACCTTTTAGGACAGGTCCAAGCACACTGTGTGTGAAATGGCTCAACACTTTATCGCTAATGGCAAGATAGCTGACATATTAAGATTGTATCCACTTTTTGCACTCGGTAGCTATATTATTTCCCATGTATAGAACCACACACACACAATGGGCTTGAATACCTCTCACACAAATGTCAACAAGAAAGTACGGCCAGACAGTGCCTCACACTGCTGTACTCACGCTGTTGTGAATAAGTTACCCTCTTTGTACAGAGCTAAACAAAAAAATTATTTGAAATGCTCTGTAACATTAAATACTATAATATCCTGACCACTGGGGTTAGTATTTTTTATACATACCCTTTGTGACCTCTACTCTATAATCCTTTTATGCTACTGCTCACAGGATGAATATGGGATGCACAATAAACTAGCCACTGTAAGCTACAAAATTAAAAAAATTAAAATATATATGAATTGTGTATTCACTTTTTTTTTTTTTTTTACAAGAATTATTGAGTTGCTGTGAACACCTTTCTTACAGACAGCACATGGCCATTATCTACTTTCCACCGCGGGTCTCACCCGCACCACTAATTAATACTTTTCTTTTCGGGACACATACTCTAAAGCCCTTTTGACTCTATTCCACCCTTCATGTCTTAAATTTGTACTATGTGCTATCAGCACTAAATCGTCTGCATGTAACAACTCCAGGGCAGATCAGACCTAAAATCCCGTGACAACGCCTCCAGCAGCATGATAAACAGAATGGGGCTCAAGACAAGCCCTTGAAGATGAACCCCAACTTTTGCCTCAAATCTCTCTTTCCTCACAGCATACCGAAGGGGGATGGTGACAGGGCGGTAATTGTGCAGATCACAGCAACCAAAGAAATCCAGAAATTCACTTCACGCAATCGATAGAACTATTTTTTCTATTATCAATTTCTTATATACACTTCCATCGCTACTTTATAATAACGAAATAATATAATTTTAAAAAGAATAAAATCAGAGCACCTGTCCCTGACCCGGAGTAAGGTAAGAAAGACTGCAACGGCTAGTTATATTATTGTGGAGGCTGACCACATGCCTCTGGGTTATTACCTAGCATATGGCCCAACCGGGGGCGAAGACCCCGGTTAGGTAAGGTTTAGTTTGGTTGTATTGTATAATCCACAAATCACTTGTTTTTTGGCTCTACCCCACCCAAAACCCCCAAACCAAAGATTTCCAACAAAAACGAAGGTCAGATTTGAATTATTCATATCCAAACCCACAATAATTTTTTTTTAAATTCCATGGTTGCTGTAATCTGCTAATAAATTATTTTAAAAAATAGTAAAAATAATGAAATAAAAATATAGTAGCGTCACTAATTGAGCAGTAAGCTCATCATGAACTTCTAAAAGATATTAATTATCTCGTATTTCAACAATACCTCGGTATGTTTCACCTTGCAAACGACCTGGAACCGAGATATTTAATGTGCGGGTGGGGGGGGGAGCCCCCCCTATTCGGAAGTTAGGTAAGGTTAGGTAGGTTTGGTTTTCTTTTTGGTTGGTCAGTTTGGATAACTTAATTAATTAGTTATACGTGGTTGATAGCAGCAACTAAACCTACCTAACCTTATTTAAGTTCCTAACTCGACTCTCCCGGTGTATTAAATATATATCGGTTCCAGGTCGTTTGCGAGGGAAACGTCATAAAAGAAAAGTGTTTGCAAAGATAACATTCCTGAGATTCGGTTGGTGGCAACAAATGCAATGGTACGTCCGTGGCCCATAAAAATAATAAGAAAATAATGGGGATAAAAAAAAACCCGTTCAGACAACGGGACGTAGCGGACGTAAGTGGCCTTAGAGCGGGCACGCTCACGCATGCATCAAGTGTTCTTAAACAAAATAGATTGTGCTGCCAGGCGTATGATGATACAGTGCAGTAACTATATATCCATAATATGTTTTGATAGATATAAGAAATGCCTATGTTACTGGTTTATGATTTTTGGCTATTGTAGTGTACAGTACAGTACTTTTAATTTGATTTCCTTACTTACAAAATAAAAAGTTTACAAACAGTATAACAGTGTATGCTTGGTTTGGCCTCATCGGCAATGTAGACATTATGTTGTTTTTTAGCCTTCTTAACCTCTGTGTTTCATTAGTTGTGTACATTATCTAGTGAATTTAGTCAATATTGTACAGTACAAGTACACTGCAATATTCCACATACATGTAAGTATAAATACAAAGTTCACAATGTGATGTTCGAACAACGTCCAAGTTGGTTAACGTCAACTTTCCAAGAACGTATCTAGGACGTTAAGTGACGCATGACTGTATATCTACTATACATTGACGCAGAAAAGTGGGGTAGTGTGTGTTGTTTGTTAACGGATAAATACTGTTTACAGTCTTTGGTTTGTTGTATATTCAATTTAGTAATCATAGGGAATGACACTGTTGAAGTTTTATATAGTACTTATAAATTTGTAACCACTTAAATTTTACAATGAAGTTAAAATACAGTTAAATATACTATATAACCAGATGTTTGTTTACCAGACATTAATAATATCCTCCATAGAAGCCCAAATTATAAAGTGAATACACGACCCAGAACATTTCCAATATTACCTGCAGCTTACCCTAATTTCATCTGATTTCTTACCTGGATTCCTGCCATCTCAAAATATTCTAAGAATTAATTTGTTTAACCTCATTCACATAACAAAAAGCTGTGTGTCACCAAGTCACAGCTCAAGGTTGAAGAAGCCGCAAGTCCAGAAAACTGTGAGAGCGAACTTTTTCGGAGTGTGAGTTGTGAACTCTTGGAACAACCTGCCAGAGTGTTGTGACGGCACCGAATGTGAGCTGTTTCAAGACCAGACTTGACAAGCACTGGAGCAGGTTCACATATATTCAGCAGCCAGTGCACGCACAGTACTTGCCAACAGTGCATAACAGAGATGTGACCGACTGATCAGTGGCAAAGAGGATAAGTAAAAAAAAAAAAGGAAGATTAAAAAAAGGAAGATGAAGCTAAAACCTTTTGTGATATATGCAAGTGTATGTATGTATGATGTATGTATGTATGTATGTATGTACTAAAAATATGTATGTAATTCACCATAATGATCAATGTCACTCAGTTTTGGAGGATGGCCAAAGTTACAGGGGATGACCAAAGTTAAAGGGGATGGTCAAAGTTATAGGGGATGGCCAAAGTTACAGAGGATGGCCAAAGTTATAGGGGATGGCCAAAGTTACAGAGGATGGCCAAAGTTATAGGGGATGGCCAAAGTTATAGGGGATGGCCAAAGTTATAGGGGATGGCCAAAGTTATAGGGGATGGCCAAAGTTACAGAGGATGGCCAAAGTTATAGGGGATGGCCAAAGTTACAGAGGATGGCCAAAGTTATAGAGGATGGCTAAAATAGCACTACTCTACTGAAA